AACTCACATCACTTTGTGTCACATCACTTGACACTTGGTAAAGTGCAAGTGAGTGGAAAACTTGTGCACGTAAATAAAATAAGTGTCAAAATGTAAAAGAAATTGGCCAAATGGAAATATATTGTACAAAAATGTACAAGTATACAGTACTGTAAAAATGAATAGTGTGCAAATTAGGAACTATAAATACAATGAATGGACATATGAATACAAGTGTGGATGTCGTGGACATGGATGCCTGCGAATGGTTTCATGAGTTCGTTTTTGGATGGTCTGGGGAAATAATAAAAAAAAACTGTCCCAGTCTAATTTCAGCATATACAGCAGCTGGCCGCTGGTACTGAAATAGAACAATCCACTCGTCCATGTTGCCATGTTTTGTTTTTTTTTTCCTTCCTCTACATGAACCTTCGCGACAAGGCCTTGCTGTGGTAAATAAGTTCTCTAGTGAGGTTAGAACATTCAGAAAAAGAGGACATGTTTGAACATGCGCTCATTAACGGGTTCCGTGCACCGGCATGCTGTAAAGGGAAGCCCATGTGGCACGCTGTAGAGAAACCCCGCAGAATCTGTTTCAATTTCCCACGATGCCCGGCTGGCTGTCGCTGACCTAAAGGATGCGCCAATGGCTCAGAGTTGCTGGGCCGAACCCCCGCATCCGTTTCAGAAAAAGACTAAATCAAACGCTGACAGATAAAGGGGCTGGTGACGTGACTATCACAGCGTGTCACCGTGGAGTCATAAAAGCTCTACAGCCACAGAGGACCGGACCGTGGCCCGACCGCATCCACAATGCATTTCTTCATAAATAAATGAAAGGGATTGGGATGCAAATGCTGGTTTGAAAACATGCCTTCATGGCTGCTGAGTCCAGCTGCTGGCACAGTCATCTTTCATGTGCGCAAGGACAGATCATTTTGTTCACTGAAAACATTTTAAGCCATCTAAATAAAAGCATTAATAGTTTTTTGACAGCACACGGGGCAATTTTTAATGACATCTTCAATTTACATTTGACTATAAGAATTTGATCTGCATTGTGGCTTAAATATTTAGAGATAAAGCGTTTAGATGAGATTTTCATTGACTTTCATCTGTTAAACATGACTGATTGTAAAATTCAAATCCTTAATTGTTCGAGCGTGATTCACTGTTTAACACCAGGTGTGAATAAGTCATGAAGCAAATTCTAATGTATAATTTTGCTAAAAATGTCAATTTTTAAAGAACTGTGAGCATGAATCATGTCTATGTGCACATCACTGTGCCTCATCTCCGGATAGAGAGGCTGGCTAATCAGCAGAGATCCTTAGACACACAATTCTTAACCTGTGCAATAAACTCCAAGGAGCTTCCTGTCTGATCATGGCTCACTGCGGTCCTACTTCTTACGAACTCAGAGAGCAGATCACGCAGATTTCTGGGTGGTGCTTTTGAGGTTCAGCCTCCCCAGCGATAAAGCTGCATTGTTTCCGGACAAACAATGAGGAAACCACCCTGCACTGAGGGAAAAATGAGGGTTGAGGGGCCTAACGGTAATTACAGCTTAAGTAAACCGTAATACACCTGAGCCCCTATCGGACATCCACCACCACAGACACTCACTGTGCACATCACCCCAGAGAAAGAGCCGGCCACGGCACTGCGCTCACCACCGGCGGCACTGCCGAAAACTTCATGCTACAGCAAACCCGTGGTCACGCTGGATCTGTGCCCCATTCACCCACTGGTTACTGTGGATTTATTTAAGATGGGAGTCATAATTCATACAGAGGGGCCAACATTATCATCAACCAATGATACGTTTTGAAATTGGCGAGTGACAGGGGAGTGGACCAATCAGCTTTCAGCTGGGGCCAGTGACTCAGTGGTCCTGTCCCTGTATATGACCCAAGACTCAAGCTGGAAAGGAGTGTGCTGTAATTCCACAGGATGTGCCCTGACACGTGCCCCCGTCACGCTCAAGAAAAGGCCCCGATGCAGAGAGCAGCTGCCCGCTACGGCTCTCTCCTCCTTCACTCCTCTTTATCTCCCTCCCGACGCCGTGTTTCTCGCTCCAAACTAATGTGAATCCCTCGCTGCAGATAATGCGACCGTTCTGTGCTCGTCGGATTTAATTAAGGCGCTTGGTGCAGGCGACACCTCTCATTAAGCGACCTCGGCTGGCCGAGCCTGTCCTTCCCGCCCCAGAGCAGCGCCGTTCCCGATAAACGTCTTCTCCGCTTGTCATTTTGCCAGCTAATATGCTTCCTTCCCAAGCAAAGTGATCAAATGGGTGCGACTGCACTCCACAGAAACCAACAGGAAATGCACTGTATTAAAATAATTAAAAAAATGTATTATAAATATGAGGAGTTAGCCACACGGTGCATTTTGCAGGCTCATATGTATTACAAACAATTTATTTATTGACGCTTTACATTAACAGCAGCTTCATAATGCACTCTTAAAGCATTCATAGAACATTCATAAGCATCATGAAAGTACAGTAAAATCCCATTATAACAGACTTCAAGGGACCTGGTAAAACAGTTATATGCAAAGTCCGTTATACCCAGAGTTCCTGTATGGCCAGAACACATCTACAGGACACCATTGACTCATGCCACACCTCAGCAGACACACTTGTGGTATAGATTATTATATTGTACATGTAGTAATCCAACTTCACCTGACCAGATGCGTGACTATTAATAATCCCGACTACGTATCTGTGCTGGATATCACCGGCACGCCACGCGCCTTTTGGCGGAACTGCATGTCCGTTATAACCGAACAGAACTACAGCTAAAAGCAGCCCTGGGACCAAATTGTTTGTCTGTTATAAGCGAAATTCCGTTATACGTGCGTCCGCTATATCCGATGCTTTTTCTGTATGTTCTTAAAGGCGCACGGCTCGGACCAGCGGACCTCGTCCGTAATAGACGATATTCCGTTATACGCATTATCATTTATTTATTAAGGAGATGCTATAACCTAAAGTAATGCACAATTTAAAAGCAGGGCCAGGCACTGGAGCAAGTGTGGCCCAATGACGAAATCAGTCCGCGGACTCTGGGACTGGAACCAGAGACCTTCTGATCACAGATACAGCATCCTAGCCCACTGAGCCACACACCATTCCCGAGCATTAATGCTTCAAGTGTAGATGTTATAGGATTAACCAAAAAAGGAATATCATTCCCATTTAGAGAAATGATTTATAACTTGTAACCTAGAGATTATTTGGATAAGGATTGGCTTAAGCAGAACAACAATAAATGTGTTATAAATGGGAAGTGAATCTGGCACGTATTCCGCTATATTTCAGCTCGTGTCTTGGGGACACGAGTGTTTGTGACCTTCTTATTGCTTTAGTGTTAACGACGCCTTTTCATTCTCTTTCATAATGTGCTTCACTGGTCCATCACAATAAGTTTCAAAGGTGGAGAGGACTCTATCACTGGTCGCGCACGGCATGCGGGGGTGGGGTGAGGCTGAGAGCGACGCTTTGAGGCTGGCCCCGAGCTCTCCGTGACGGCATGGTCCCCCCACCCCGAGCCCTCGCTCTACTGCCTGCAGCAGGATCAAAGGGCCACTGGTCAATATTTCATTAAACTACTCGCATGTGTAACAGCTCAATTTCGGACACGGGCCGCTAATGCTCAACACGAATCCGCGTGGCTACGGCCGCAGAGAGCCGAGCTGCGAAACATGGAGCCGTTTAGCACATTACACTTTAAACAGCAATGCTTAGCGGCCCAAACCGGATCCACGGGGCAACGGGAAGGGCCGCTAACGAGCTGAGCACACGCGTGTGGCGGCAGTCAAACGGCTACGCTATCGGGACAGATTAAGACAAATCATCTGATTGCGCAGAGGGAACTTCTGACGGCATTCTGTTTATGCAGCTTGATGCCATGGAAGTTTCTAGAAGAGGCAGACAAAAGTGCATCAGGTGCCTCTCTGGTGTCATTTTAAAGCATTTAGTCACAAATAAAGCAGGCCTGTCGCAGGGTCGCTAGATTCAAGGCAGAAGCGTTCAGATGGATGTGAGTGGAAGGTGTGCATGCGACTCTAAACATGAGTAAATGGAAAAGAAAAGGAAGAAAAAGAAAAGGGAAAACAGGCAGGTCCTAACAGGAGGGACAAAAGGACAAGGACAGGGTGGGGTGAGAGAGGCTGGGGGTGCAGGGCGGCCATGTTGGCGCCCGGTTATGGGTTAAGCAGGAAAAGTGAGGGTGCTGCCTTCCTTACATGCCCAAGGACCTTTCTGAGGAACGGGAATACCAGCCTTTTCATGGAGCGATGCACCAGAGTGCTGGAACAAAACTCTCCTCTTGCCAATAAGCCACGGCACGATTAAGAAATGGATCCATCGCTCCTCTACATCCAACACGTTCAGAGGGGTTAAGAAGATGCAGAGGCTCGGGAACTTAACAAGTTATGAACATTACATATTAGAAACTTATCAAGGTCCTCTTTCAGAGTAAATAGCTGCTTTAAAAAAGACAGGCATTTTCAATTACAGATTTTGACAAATCAAATGAAAGCAAGATCGATGCGGTCATATTAAATTTCACAAGCCATAAACTATTGATTTTTTTTTTTTTTGTTTTGCGATGTCTGGAGCCAAAAGGATAATCTCTCCCGAAGAGGCAAGCAACAGATAAAGAGTTATGCTTTTTAAATAAAATTAAAACTCGAAAGCATGCAAGGACACGTATGCGGCCATCCATCTGTCCTTGGCGGGGGACTTGAAGCTCTTAGCTACATGAAAATGCCTGTCTGAGGCCTTCGTGGGGGGAGGGTGAGGGGGGTGGGCATTTCGAGCCGGCAGAAATGCAGCGGGGGTTACTGGCAACTATGTCAACTCCCCCCCACCCACCCCAGTTCTCAGTGAGGACTGGGATCACTAGGATCTGGGGGGGCCAGGTTGGAGAGAGGAGTTCCCAGTAGTCATGCATGGAAGAGGCGTGGCGTAAAGCATGTCGCTAACGTAGCACAAAGCGGTTACTTACAGGTAGTAAGTGTAGGAGTGATAGGTTCTTCTGCCGAGTGGGGTGGAGGGGGTTAAGCAGTGGTGGGGGAGGAGGGAGGGGATGGGATGGAAGGAAAGAAAAGTAAAATATTAATGTCTGAAAGTAGAAATGAACAAAAGCAGATATGGTGACACAAACTTAAGGTTAACTTGTGACCGTGGGGGCGAGGTGATCGCTGTTAGCATTCACACGCGCCGCTGAGCAACGGGGCGGCTCTGAACTGCCACACAGCGGGTCGGGGACATTTCAGGCTAACGAGGAAACCGTCACTCGGAATCAATATGAGGACTTTACGAATTAGTAAGAAAAGGGAGAAGCTAAGAGAGACGTCTACGGGTTGTCAGGAAAAAAAGTTAAACTGATCAGCAAGAAGTCGGGACGATTTTTAACGAAGACGTTAAGGAAAATTAGCTTTTAAACACAGTTAAGCTTATGAGTCAGCTTTAAGATACACATACATAATACATTCATTATGCAAACAGCATTCAGGGAATGGGCAGGAAGGTGTGATGCGCGCCATAACAGTGTAAAGGAAATGAAAATTGCACTCCTATCCAGTTACTGCGCCCCTCTGTGTGCAGGGGAGGGGATTGCTGTTGTGGTGAGGAATTCTAAAGCCTTTCCTTAGCCGGAGACTACAGCAAACGCCTGTAGCAACATGCCCAAGGACTCTCTTTGAGGCTCTCATCAATTTTTCTGTCTTATCTACTGTTCTTTTCATGAGATAGGCCTCCGAAATATATCCCAAATCCAATTCCCAGGTCATTAAAACAGTGACATTTGTTTGAGCATGTCATACAGTGGAATTAATTTTTCATCGCAGACAGCGCACGAATGCTATATACCGTTTAATGGATGCTATCAATGTGATCAAATCAATTATTCAGCATTCAATTGACAGTGCATCTGTTTGAGGGTAAAAAGGGAATCAGGGCAAATTAATTTGATCTTGCTTTTATGTACAGATATACACTCTCAGACTACTAAATCTCTTTTGCTTTGGACCACTTAAATAACAAAATGTTGCTGGCAGAACTTGCTTTAGGACACAACACAAATGGTGTAAAGTTTCTAATTTTGCCGAGATGTTAGACAAGCAGCGTAATCCATACAAAATTCGTAGAACAAACTTTAAGTAATCATTTAACCCCATAATGGGTGGGTCCAGGGATGTATATTTGTTTGTTATCTGCAATAGATTGTGGGTATCACTCCTGTTATTCCCAAGTCACTATGCTGGATTGAGGGTCTTACCTTTTCTTCATGATCAGCACCACCCCCAAAAAGATAATTACGAAGAGAAGGATGCCGGCAATGGCCCCTGCGATTTTCACCGTGTGGTCCGACTGCTTCTCTGGCTCCACCGCATCTGGCTTGCGTGTGGCGGCCCCTGAAATGAGTGATGAGTCAGAACCTAAAGTGCACAGCACCCAGATTTCCAGTGAGATGACTGTTTACACTCCCCATTACAGCAAAGTACCTAATCGCATGCCTGGGTAACAAGAGCACCCTATAACAGACACAGGAGTAGGATTCTAAGCTTATCTTCCTGCTTTTGTGTCCATGCCTTGGACCGGTGTGTGAATAGTCAGAGTATCAGTGATCAGCATCTTAGAGACCAATCAGACATCTTGAACCTGAGCTCTCGAGTATCTCTGCGACTGTCATTCAGACAAAACTCAGTTCAGCCTGCCGCCAGAGTCAATTTCAGAAATTGACTGCTGGGAAAAAAAAAAAACCACACCGCTCTACACTGCAGTGGGAGACAAACGTGTAAAGACTGTCCGACAGATTGATTAAGCTTTAATATTGATATGCAACAAGGAGCAGACAGAGTGATAAACTGATAAGTCGAGTGGGCTGACGTGGGGAAAATGCAGACAGCTATCCCTTTAAGGCTGAACCGCATGTTTCCAGCATCCCAGAGCGTTCCGCCTTATTGGGGCCACTGGGCTTTGATGTTTACACGGATATAACACCTGACGTGTTAGTCTGTGTGAGCAAGGAGGCAGAGTCTGAAATCCCAGCTGTCATACAGGATTAAAGCACCGAGACCACATCTAGCTACCCTAGCTTATGAAGCATCTTTACGCCGTGTACGGTGCACATCGCCCTCATGTCTCAACGTTCAAACTAATGAACCTCAGATTGAACCCTCTGATACAGTAGTAAGTACTAACGCGGAAAACTGTTGAGTATTTAATTCATCCTGTCAGACCAGTGTTGCAGACCTTAAGTTAATAACATTAGATTTTGCCAACAAATATATCTATATATCTATCTGTGCTATATCTGTCCACAAACAAGAAAGTGGAAAGTCTGGAGAAAGAAACCTGCCTTTAAATACATTTCTTTGCCACAATATTGCATGCAAAATTAATAGTTTCCTGTTTAGTACTGAACAACATATTATACAATCATATTTTATATGCCTGACATTCTTAACCAGATAGTAATGTGTGCTAACCCAGTAGTTTTCTCCCTTAATGACTGATTATCACTCCTTATAAGCTTGCACCCCTGACAGACAGACACTCATTTGTGGCGTGTTTCAGCATCTCTCGTTTGGAACAATAAGCGCTTCTTCTAGCCCTCAGATATTCAGATGTGGGTCACATGTGGTGCGTGTCGGCGAGGGAGACTCCAGAGCAATTCCACATGCGGCAAGGCAGAGGTGGGTGGTCTCCGCCTGCAAACACACGTTTAATATCTGCTCAAACGAGATAACCGACACCTAGCAACAGGCCGCGTTTCCACGGCTCCACGAGAGATCCGTGCGGGCTGTTTGCGCAATAATATGAGGGGCCGCCTGATGAAACATCCATTTCCTCTCCCGGAATGAGTCTGGGATGAAAAACCATCGGGGCACCCTTGGGACGGCCCGCTCACTCGGCCGGGCCAGACCCACTGGCTCCCCCCTACAGTAGCATTTCAGTCAGACAGGCAACAGCATGTGGCCCACATGTCTCTACACTGCCCTTAGTGGGGTGATGGAGAGTGCATGGGCCAAAACCGAAGTGGCTGATGCTCCAAAGCTTGGGCCACATATGCCAGGCTTCCTGAGCAGCATCTCAAGATGGAACTCTCCTGCTAAGAGCACTGGGCCGGAAGGAGACTTTCACCTGGTCTCACCTAGCCCCCCACAGGACACTGTCTCACCTGGTCTCTATCTCCCCCCACAGGACACTGTCTCACCTTGTCTCTATCGCCCCCCGCTGGACACTGTCTCACCTGGTCTCTATCGCCCCCTGCTGGACACTGTCTCACCTGGTCTCTATCGCCCCCTGCTGGACACTGTCTCACCTGGTCTCTATCGCCCCCTGCAGGACACTGTCTCACCTGGTCTCTATCGCCCCCTGCAGGACACTGTCTCACCTGGTCTCTATCGCCCCTGCAGGACACTGTCTCACCTTGTCTCTATCGCCCCCTGCAGGACACTGTCTCATCTTATCTCTATCACCCCCTGCAGAACACTGTCTCGCCTTGTCTCTATCGCCCCCTGCAGAACACTGTCTCACCTTGTCTCTATCGCCCCCTGCAGGACACTCTCACCTGGTCTCTATTGGGCAGCGTGTGGCTCAGTGGGCTGCCCTTCACGGCCAGCCTGCTCTCACCTACAGAGAGCAAGTTGGGGAAGGCTTGAAGAGAATTTCCTCATGGGGGTCAATAAAAGAATCAATTATTATTATATTAATTATTGCCCCTCTTATAGTAGACTGTCTCACCTGGTCTCTATCCCCCTCCATAATAGACAATCTCACCTGGTCTCTGTCACCCCCTGCAGGACGTTGTCTCACCTGGTGTCTATGCCTCTCCCCACACCCAAGAGACTATCTCCCCTGGTCTCTATTGCCCCTTGCATGAGACAATCTCACCTGGTCTCTACCGCCCCCTGCAGGAGACTGTTTCATCAGGTCTTTGTCTCTCTCTCCTAGGTTTTAGGCCAGTCTGTCGTTATCTATGCTGGCTGCTTAGACAAACACTTCCTACTTAAAGAGGAGATCAGCCTAGCCCAGGTCACACTGAAAAAGACAAATCTTCTATAACTGACCACTCTCCTTCTCTGTAGCTCATGGTTCCTCTCTCTCTCGAGAGGTATATATTATTACCTAAAGGAAGGATCACAGATCACCAATGAGACCAAGACATCTGGCTAAAGAGGGAATTCTCAGTTTTTTCTAACACATCCACAAAACAGAATATATAATTCAGCTAAAAATCAGGAACATCTTTCAAAGATGTGCGGAGATGTTCTTGGACGTGCTGTAGCCATGGAGCCCATCTGATGCCACTCAGAGGTAGCACCCTGGGACTTGCCAGCTCCCCATCATCTGCGGCAAGATCGCCGTCGTGCTAAACACCCCCCCTCGCCACTGACGAAGGGGGCTCGCAAAGCTGCACCCCAGCGCTCAGGAGCCACGTGGTCTGGTGGGGTGCGACTGAGCTAAAAACGTCGATGGCAGCAGCTGCTGTGAGGACACTAAACTACCCTGATTCCCTCCCGGTAAAAGAACAACAAAAAACAGGAGAATCAGGGGGATAACGAGAACCACAGGGAGAATAAGGGAGAAAACCACTAGGGTAACTAAAAGGAGAGCCATGAGCAGAATGACAGGGAGAATCAAGGAGAGAACCACAAGGGTAACTGGAAGGAGAACCATGAGGAGAACAATGAGGAGAATCGGTGGGATAAGGAGAATGACAGAGAATTTCGGCGAAACATGAGGGGAACGGGAATGAGAAACATGGGGAGAACCCTGAGGAGAAACATAGGGAGAGAATCAAGGAAAGACCCATGTGGAGAACCACGGGGGATCCATGAGAAGAACCACAATGCAGGCCATGAGGAGAGAAACTTCAGTGTCTGAAAAGATCGCAGGCTGGGTCTCCACCTCCTCAACACACACCATTCTGTCTTCCTTATGATTATCATCTCATCTTTCATTATTTCTAAGAGCGCATGGACCATACAACATGCATATTTGTTTTACAGCCCGCTTTTAGTGCAGTACACCGGCGAGAAGAAAAGCCTTTCACCTTCGGGTGAGGAGCACAGTAAATATTTAAATGTAATTCCCCGAGAGCTGGCAGAACATCACAGCTTTTTTCATGCATGCTTAAGCCCCCTGCACCATGTTTTTTTGGCTGTTCCACACCCACACACTGACACGTTCCCACTTTCACGTCGCAAGCCGGACATCAGCGATGCAGAAAAACATTGACATTTCAGCTCCGGTGACACAGTGCCTGCCATGCAGAGACTGGTAACTGTACACCTCCTGACACCAAACATGAAAAAGGCACTGGACTGTATTATTCAGGCGGGAGAAAAACCTGGAATTCTGAACCATTAATGACGAGCCAGGAGCCAATGGGAAGCGGGAAGCGGCAGCAAAGCGACACGTTTCAGTGACGCTCTGTGTTTCCATGGCAATTGATCTCCAACTCTTCCATGCCTAAGAAAATGAAGCGGGTTGAAAACCCACCTGACCCTTGGTGAACTGCTCTCATCGTTAAGGTTTAAAAGGGCCAGCTTTGTTTATTTTAGAGCCTCTAGAGAGTTCAGGGAGAGAGTCTGTACATTCCTTAAGATTTCATCTAAAGGTTTCAGGAAACTAATTTGTTGTTTTTGAGCAGTAGCTTGTTCCTATGCTTAAAGGGTGCTTGTACCCTGATAGATTTCTCGTGCCATTAAAGAGTCCCGGTCTGATTCTGTCGTGCTCCTGTCCCCTAGGCAGGTCTCTATCCCACATCCGGCCCCAGCCGAACAACGCTGGCGGATCAGCAGACACAGACCCACTTACCTGTAAGAATGCACTCAGACCTCTGGCCAGGAGAGCAGAAGTGCAGTGGGATATGAGTGTGTGCACGTGCATGCGGGAGGACCACATGCATGCGCACAGACACACACAGGTTTGTATTCATATCTTTTGTGGGGACCATCCAATCATTTCTATGGGAAAAACCTTAATCCCAACAATGACAACCTTAACCCCTATCCAGCCCTAAATGTGAACATAAGTAATCAATCAGGGTAACAAAGTTAAAGGTTTTAATCTATAGGGAAATCTGGTCTCCACAATGTAATAATTATAAAAACACACACGGACAGAAGACATGCACGCTGGCAAGCAGGAACGCATAAAGTGTTGTTACTAGGGGGGATTTGGGGGGGAGGGCCCTCCCATAAGAGCTAAGGCACCCCCCATAAGACAAAAAGTAAGACTGTTGTTAAGCCCCCTTCAAAAACCTTTACTGCGGGCTTCCCCCTTGATTAACGTCTTTTGCCACTGACAATTCACCAGAGGTGGAAAGTTCAGGTCCAGAAAGTACATATCCTGACCAAGGTTTTGTTTCAACCAACCAATTCAGTCACAGAGTGCCAAAACTGATTGGTTGAAACAAAATTCTGGCTGTGATTTGTACTTACTGGACGAGAACTATCCACCTCTGCACTCCACCCCACCACCCGCTTTTATATTACTACCTACCCCACCCCCCCCCCCCCCCCCCCCCCCCACCCACCCCCCCGCGCCCCAAGACCTCTACCACAATTCGAATACTGCACATAAACATATGACACAAAGCACACAAATACATATGAACACAGAGAGCAGTGTGGGTCAGGCCCTATGGAGAAGGCAGTGAGACAGACAGCTCGCAGCATGCTGGGAGAACGACAGGGACAGGCAGAGAGGAGGGTGACGTCATTCAGAAGGAGCAGGAAGCGGACAGCTGAAGGTCTGACCTGTTAGTTGGTTTTCACCAGCCGCCGGGGCGATGCGATTGTAGGGTGTGGTGAGCTGGGTCACTATGATGGCAGCTAAAGGCCAATCAGGATCCAGGCCGGCATGCAGAGAAAGAGAGCAAGACTGAGGCAGGGGCCTTGCAGCCCCCGCAAGGCCTACGAAGCCGCGGCAGGGTGAGAATTATCATCGTAACAAGAAAGCGAGAACTCGCAGTGTGCACAAGCGTTAGAGGAGCACTGTGAGGCCACTGGAATGGAGGGAAAAGGTAATTTCAATTTTAATAATAACCTGAAGGCGTGACTGGCTGGCCGGCAGATTCGTTAGGATCCCTGGCACAGCTTAACAGACGCTCCCTAACCCTGCCTTAGACCAGATGCAGTTCAGAAACTGCTCCCCAGGCGATGGAGACTGAGAAATGCTTTCCCCTTATGATGTAACACCAGGAGGACAAGGAACGGTTTCACTTTCCAATAAAAACAATTTTACTAGGCTTCGCCATGCTTGGTCATAGCACCGCCAGCCTGACTCAGATACCAATAGAAAGACAGTGTCTGGGAAAAAGATTGATAAGTTTACAGGAAGTGACATCAGAAGGGAGTCTGAGCCTGTAGCATCTATAAAGGCTTTGACTGTACAGAAAGTCTGAAAACACTGATTAATGTGAGTGCAGTGGAGAACACCGTGTTTCAGACCACACTGCCCAGGGCCAAGCCATGCTGCTCAGCTATCTGGGGAGGGGGTTGCCAGGGGCCCGTTAATCCCTCAAGGGGTCTGGTCTGTTAAAAAAAATAAATAAATAAAAATAAAAATACCAGGCTGATAAAATATGAAAAATGAGTTGAAAGTAGCTGAAATTGAATGCGCTGGTCCAGCTATAGCCATTAGCTCCATAGCCAAACTAGCGCTCGCCCTCTTAAATGGGCGACCATGGAAAAACAAGATAACTGTGTCGCAGGCAGCGAGTCTGTGTTCTGTCGCGGCTGATGTTCCCCAGACGGGCCCGCCACGGCCACAGCCAATGAGCTCTCAGCACTGTCCTCATCCCGCGTGACCGAGGCAGTAGGTTAGCGGAGAGAGAAGTAAACGAGGCTTCCAGACAACCTCCAAACTGCGGAAGCAGCCATGGAGTATAGAAAATGCCAGAAGAAAAAAAAAAAAAAAACAAAGCTCTTATGCCAATAGTAAGGGTTCAGAGAGGAAGATCTCCCTAGGTAGCAGGGTGATGAAAAGAGCAGAGCTAACCACAAACATAGATATTAGTAACTTTCAAAATAAAAGTCTGGTAAGTTAGGGAAGGTTCTGGAATTTGCTTTCCACTCCTGGAAAACCAGAACGAAGCCACAAACAGGTGTTTGGAGCCCATTGTGTTGCCCCAAGCGAACAACCCCCCTCCTCTCTAGTGACCCCTGCAGTCCTACCTTTGGTGGCCACGCGTACACAGTCAATCTTGGTCTCCTAGGGAAGACAGAGAAAAGGCCAGATGAGTCACTGTCTGGCTGGTGGAGATGGAGATGCACCCTCAGTGAGGAAGGAGCCACAGGCATGCTGGGGGCTCTGTTCATTTCTCCCCCGCTGTGCGGGGGCTCTCTGGAGCGTGAAACACACCAAGCCGCAGCCCAGGAGAAGCCTCCTCGCTGTACATGCTGCCTGGCAGGACGCCGTCCCCCGGCTCCCCAGGAGAACCACCCTACCCCCCCCCCCCCACCCGACAGAGCCGTAGGCCATGTTCTCGCGACTGTCATACGCCAATGCTCAGGCCATGATCCTGGGATCTCGAGGCCCATTGGACAAGCAAGCGCATGAGGGGAGGCCCAGAACGGGACCAGTAGGTAACAGACATTTCGTGGAATTGGGGAGCAAAGCGATACTGGTGTGTCCCCCTCCCTGCTCCACGACCCTTTCCGGCGTCATGACCACTCTTTGTCTGAGGGAATCCATTGTTCCTAAAACGAGAGTGTGGGAGATCCCCATCTGTTACCATTAAAACCAATAAGCTCATCTGACTGGACAGAGAGCGGCACGACGAGCACTGGCATTGAACACGATGGCCCCATCGATTTTTGCCACATTGGGCCGGCCCGGTTTCGTGTGGAGAAAGCGCCATGTCCTCATGTGGCCCCCAAAATTTTCACCCCAGAGAAGTCATCACCCAGGTAGGTCATGTCTGCATGTCGCGTCCCGTTGTATCTGCCGCGTCCATTAACTGCGGCCGGCAACGTGGCAAAGAAAGAGATGACAGGTACAAGTCGCACCTCTTTGCAGCACCTACATGAATAAGTCATTAAAGCTAATAATAATATGAACAGGCTTAAGTAATTACGCTAAACATGCTACACAGGAAATAAAAAGCAGAATGCTCAGTCCATCCAGGCCATTTCCACGTGTGAAATCGCTTTATCATTATTATTATAGTTATTATTATTATGGTTGTTGCCTCATCACTTTATACGCACATATTAAATCTGGAGGCTTCTGTACATACAGCCCCCAGCTGCCACTGCTGCAGTCCAGCCTAGACGTTTTAGACTAATAACAGACTAAGTTCTCTCTCTCAGAGAGTCTATTCAGCCGCTCTAACACGCAATTTCCTCTCTTTTCAATAAGTTCCAGGCCATTTTAGTGCGCCGAGGGGGGTCCATAACGGGCCTTCCCGTTCACCGGCACCCCTCACTCCAGCAGCATGCTGAGTACATTGACTTTCTGAGCAGGGGGGGGAGTGCTACTTTGCTGTCACAAACTGTCCTGGGGGTCACCACTCCCCTCCGTCGCACGGCCTTTCAGGGGACCTGACCTGCCTGACATGTAAATCATACTCATTTGTATCCGCGGGCCATGAAGTGACGTTAAAACCGGACCTGGTGTTGGAAAGCCAGATTCGGGGACTAAGTGGAGGACACCCAGGGACACGGACAGACTATATGACTCTGGGGCCACCATACAGAACTTCCTGAGGGCTTTTACCATCTAATGAAGTCACTCTAACCATCTAAAGACACTTGCATCTATGGTGAAAGCCAAACACTTAAGTCCAAACCTTGGTTTGTGCCTCGAAAGTCAAAGTCAATTTTACTGTCAGTGTGTGCATGTGCAACAAAATCACTTAAATAACTTTACATAAGATTCACACCAAGGGAATTGATGGAATCTATTGGCATGAATGCTGGACGGATGTACCATATTTGACATTAGCTGGAATCTAAAGTGTAAGCCTACCGATCCACCCTGGCTAGCATTCAGTTGTTCTCTCTTGGTTTCACAAGGCCAGTGAACACCCCCCCCCTCCCCATCAGGTAGAGTAGGACATGAACCCCGCCAGAATCCTCACCCCGTTGGCACTGCTGACAGCCTGGTAGTAGATGCTGTAGCTCTTGTGGGGCAACAGTGGAGCGTTCCAGTAGCCGTTGTAGGTCCGGTTGTCTCCGATGCTGAAGGGCAGGGGCATCTGGAGACCCCCGGCCGGGATCTCGGCCGTGAAGTAGTAGGGAGAGTTGAGCAGTGTGGCGTTCTGGAAGTGGATGGGAACCGGGTAGCAACGCAGGATCTCCGGCGAGCTCCGGGCCCGGCGAGGCCGCTCGTCTTCCACCACCACCTGGTATACGCTGCAGGGGTGTAGAGAGAAGGGGGCCTTTACCAACCTCATCGTGAGTGTTCGACAGCAAGAGAATGTCTACCTTTACCCATGAGTGAGCGTGTGTTAGTGTGAGTCTTTTTTAGCCGTTGAGGCTGGGAAGCATCTGTAGGGTCCACAGCAAACCAATTACGGCGCGACAGAGCAAGCTGTTCAACAGCTGGGTCCCGTTGAGGCAACAGGCCGCTAACAGAGCCCTCGACACTGCACTCAGATCGAAGGGGAACACACTCCAACATCTGCGTACTCAAGGTATCTGCAGATTATTAACTGTATCAGAAGCCCCACCTTAACCCTCCGATATCTGCGTGTATCTGCAGTTTTGACAGTATAAGAACCTCCAGAACTACATACAGATGATCGGCATGGAAGCACCATCCTTGTCTGACAATGTTATAAAAACCTTGGTAGCACGATATTGTATCAGGCAGGGGGTCGATGGCGGCTCGACAGAGAATTACGACGCAAATTCTGTTCACGGTTTGTGAAAGCCGGCTGTCTCAATGCAGCTCAGGAAAGCACAACTTCACATGTGCGTTATTCAAATGCTGCGAAATAACGCTCCGGAAGGCCATATCCTCCAGTCCAGGACAGCGTTTCCTTTAATTGACCAATAACAAAAGAAGCAACAATTTTATCATCTCGGCAGATAATTGCTCTCTGAGTTTAACAACTGGGAATGATGTTGGAAAAAAATAAAGAATGAATGAATGAAAGGCTTTGCTGTGCTGACGCCTGATCAAATAAGCCTGCCTCCCCGGCCCCGTCCATGCCGGGCGGCGGAGAGGATATTGGCTGCCGAGGAGCGTGGGAGATAAATGAAATCGAACTGGAATTACAGGGAGGCCATGGCGACAAGGCCTTTCATTAGCACCCAGCACACGGGCAGCACGGGGGACGGCCAGAGCTGAAGGACCTCAAATAAGATTCCTTAGCTCTCCGAGCGGTGCAGGACAAATTAGCTTTGCGAGCATCCAGACCTTCACTCTATTTGCTGTTTAATAATTTAAACACCTAAAGGTCAAACAGCTCCTTTCCCCCCCCATCTCCTCCCTTTATCAAAGCCCCGCGGTTGGAAAGAGTAGCTTTACTGTGAGCAGAAACCAAGTCGACCCAGTTGGGGGTTTTATTTAACCTCGTAGCACGTGCCGTAGGAAGGCTTAACGCAATCAAGTGCAGCTACCGAGCTGCTGTGGGTCGACGTACAGCTGCGCGTTAGCTGCAAATTGCCAGCGAAAACGTGTACAGGCCACTGTAGAATTAGGAATGCGTTTTGTCTTCAAAATTAAGGACTATTCCTGTTTTCCTGGGAGAGGATTCATAATCTGCCGGTAAATGCTGGCATCCATTGAAGTGCTCTAATTATACAGTTGCCTGAAGAAACAAAATTAAAATGAAGATTACAATTTAAAAAAAAAAACTGATGCATTCTGGCCTGTGACCTGTAAACAGATTCGATTCACAACAAGAAAGTGTTTCAGCAAACTCAGAAATTCCATTAAAATGTGAACGACACCAACAGTATACAAAATGGCTTCCAACAGTGTGTAACACTCATATTCTGACAATGACATGCTAATTTGCCGATCGTTATTGTCTTAATTAGTTACATATTATCCTTTATTTAATTTAGACTTTCATGTCATGCACAGTCATGCTTGACTTAACTCCTGTAAAATTAGTGGGATCTTTCTGTTCCACACAAAAGCAGTTTTCTAATTACCAAGTTATTAATCACAAAAATACATCACCAAGATAGAATACGCTAATAAAAAGAAAGTGAGACCCCACCACCAACCCTACAAGACCTTAACACCAAACTTCACCTGCAACCACCACCAACCCCACGAGACCTTATCACCAACTCCACCTGCAGCCACCACCAACCCCATGAGACCGTATCACCATCCCCACCTGCAGCCACCATCAATCCTATGAGACCTTAACAGCTACTCCATCTGTAGCCACCATCAACGCTACAAGACCATAACAACTAGTCCACCAGCGAGCACCACCAACCCTACGAGACCTTAACACCAACTTCACCGGCGGCCACCATCAACCTTAGGAGACCTTAACACCAACTCCAACAGCAAGCCTATGAGACCTTAACACCAACATCACCTGCGGCCACCGTCACCCCTATGAGATCTTAACACTTACTCCATCTGTAGCCACCATCAACACTATAAGACCTTAACAGCTACCCCACCTGCGAGCACCACTAACCCTACGAGACCTTAACACCAACATCACCTGCGAGCACCACCAACCCTATGAGACCTTAACACCAACATCACCTGCGANGAGACCTTAACACCAACATCACCTGCGAGCACCACCAACCCTATGAGACCTTAACACCAACATCACCTGCGACCAACCCTACAAGACATTAATGCCTACTCTGCACCTATGAGTAACATATGTCCTGCTGAGTCCAGATTTGAAAGTTCAGCGGCATGTGCAGAGAAGGCGACCACCATCTTCTTGACAGATAATCCTAAGTGTCCAGCTGCTTGTGTCTTCAGCACCAGTGAAGCTGAATCCCCTCTCCTTCCAGATAAGCTCCGCCAAGCTCAGCCCTGGCTGGTTTCATGAATCCACCCTGTCCTTCCTCAGCTGAAGCTCATTACACAACCTTCTCCATATCAACAAACCCCCCCCGGCCCCTCACCCTGACCTTTCGATTGGCGGTCAATATGATGCAGCACTGCACCTGGGTGATAAAATCACATGATGTGAAATATTAATTGCTGTGGATGTGCTAATGTGAAATATCAAGTTAATTACAGTCCCATACTGGAAATAAAAGCTGCAAGGCAGGAACAAGGCCACCATAAACGATCCCCTAAAACAGGGGAGTGAATGGGATATTTACAGCAGATTGAAAGGCTACCTAAAGGCCAGTCATAACACATGGGCATGAGCTGAATTATCACAGTGTATCATGCAGTGTCCTGCGGACACTCATACCTCTCCCTGCCAAGGCTGTATAGAGGGGCGGGGCCAAAGGGGCACAAGTGACAGCTGAAAGCTGATTGGTCCCCAGAGTGCCCCCTCCCCTGTCATTCACCGATTCAAACCAAATCATTGGCAAATGATAAGGTAGACCCCTCTGTACAAATTAAGACCCCCACTTGGAAGGTTGCTAGTTCAAATCCCGTGAATGTCCGGAGTGATTCTACTCCGTTTGGACCTAGAGCAAGGTCCTTAATCTGCAATTGCTTCATCCTGGGTATGATGTTAATCTACATCCAGTCCTATAAGGAGGTCCTTCAATTTACAGGAAATAACCCGGGGATTGGTGGCAGGATGGGTCACTCTAGCCGCCGGAAAAAAGCTCAGATATCGCCCGCCGCATGCCTGCACTCAGGTTCTCATCCGAGTGGTGGGTGCAGTAACCTGCTGTAATCAGTGCATACTCCTTACCTCTCTCTTACCGTCTTTACCCCCCACTATAAAAAAAGAAAAAAAAAACCTAGAGTTGCCCCTACTGACTGAATTCCTCTATAACACAAGCAGAGCTGGAATTTGCACGATTAAGAAAAACGCCAAGCTGGAAATGGACATACATTTTACTTTGATAAAAATGTGTAAAAAAAAAACCATCAAATCGACAATGACAACAGAAACATTTAAACCCCAGTAACTGTTCATGGTGAAGAATTACTGTTTTAATGGTGCTATTACAGTATGAAACACGGGTCATGCTGGTGAAGAATCCATGTTCTGATGGCATCTGCTACCTGGGAAATGTTTTTGGTCAACACCACACCATACGGCCACTATATAACCTGCACCTTGCAATCATTACAGCTTTCCAGAATGGCTCCAATGAAATTAATCCGTTTCCTACTTCTTCCTCCCTGCTGTACCATCCTGTACCATCATACTCTCTAACCTCACTCTGGAACTCCACTTCCTTTTTTTTTTTACTTTTTGAAAAAGCGATCATTAGGCAACTATTTAAGATTAAGTATTACCAGCGTTGTTTTTACTCCTAATTCTGATTAAATATGCAGGGCGCCAGGCACGTATCCTGCACGATCGGGCTTTTTATGCAACAGCACGCATTTTTGCATAATCTCTCCTGCAGCCGGGCTCCGAACGTTTCCGGATCCCCGAGCCGCTGGCATCGCCGTTCCCGCCTGCTGGGCGCTTAGTGCAGTCTGACGGACCGTGTTCATTAAGCGACGTGCTAAATTTGCTATGCCGTGAGTTCATAAAAAAAATAAAAATAAAAAAAAAGTTCTCCCGTAACCACAAAAAATAAAAAACACTCAGAAGAATGCCAGTCTGACTTTACTCAATCACCTGTTGCGATTAATAAAAGAAGCAACTTTAAAATCACCCATCAAATACTTCAGTGTTAGTTTGACAGCTAACATGCCTTCAGCTGAAATTCTGAATGGACAGGTATCACATTTCAGCAGTTTAACCTAACACATATATCCTAATATCACATGTGTGTCGTACATGAATAAATTCACCTTGTCTGTGACCTGAGGCCATGGCCACACCCTGCGGCAATGTTTAACACCACTCAAGCCATAAATTTGCATGCCCCCCATTGGCCACAAACAGTCACTACACTGGGGGGGCCAAAGTGCCTTTTTGAATGGCCAAAAATAATAAACCTGCCCCTGTCCCACAGGTCTCCCTGATGCAATGGATGTGGAGGAGTCTCTACAGGCTGAAGGAAAGGGGTTCACATCCCAAGCTGAGCTGGAGTCAAAATGTAGTACTCATCCCGGCCCACAGGTGGCAGACTACAACAAAAATGCAGGGCACTGAGGACTGGGTTAAGAACCTCTAAAGTGGAACCATCAACTGTATGAAGACCAAGAGTATAAAACTCCCTCTAAGCAAAAACATCTTCGACGATAGATTGCAATGCAGTAAAAACTCATCACATAACTAGGGAAGAGTTTTATAATAAAAATAAAATTGCCTTTGCATTTTTTCACCTTCATATTCCGAACCGACAATTGCTATTGTATTCTCGGAAGTAAACGCGTGCGATTAAGAACTCGCTACATCATTATCGTGGGAAGAAAGGGAGATGTGCATGAATCAGAAAGCGTCAGTAAACTCTTTTACGAGATAATTGCCTCACGCAGATTCCGCACAGGCCCAGCCGCCCAGGATAGGGTGTGGATGCACCCCTCCCATGATGGAAATGCATATCGACACACATTTGTTCCAAAGCAGAGGCCCCCCCCCCCCCCCCCCGGGAGACAAAACCCAAGCAATTATATTTTTTCAATCCTTAGACTTACCGACCATCACTAAACTCACATCTGACGGAACAGAAAACAATGTAAGATAACAGAATAGAGTCAGTGCACAGAATTATATGAAATAAGCCATTAGAAGCGGGTGTTTGGGCTGTAGGCCACAAGGTCCTTCCTGTGGAGGCCCCCCAAGCCCAAGCTGACATCAATTAAACCCCCCTGAGCAGGAAGCCAGAAAGAGCACAGCGCCACGTTCACGCAGCAGCAAGCAATTACCGCGGGCCGGTTCCACACCAGCCGAAATGTGACCCGGAACCCGGATTTATGTCCCACGTGGGCCAGAGGCGCTCGGCCCCCATTTGGGAGCCCGGGGGAAGGAGGAGAGCTGCACGGGGAACATTTTAATCTCACCCGGCTGTCTTTTAACACTGATTGCTTTGTGTCCCGGGGCCGCTGGTCCTGGCAGGGGGGTGGGCTACATCTGCCTGATTTAAAGGGTGCATCAAGCAGGCATCTCCCCAGCCAGCATCCCCCCCCCCATTGCAGAGACTTCACTCTCATGGTTTCCATTATCCTGGCACTCCACTGAAGGCTGGATCAGCAGAGGGTCCCCGTTCACGTTCGGACCACTGTCCGTGCTCAGCTCCTCCCCAACTTCGGATTGTGCACATTTGAAGGTTTCTGTCACTATCTGACATCAAGAAGAACCTGTCTATGGGGTTTCCCTTTTTGGGGGATCTGAAAGGGGATCTAGATGCACCAACGTGTCACACCTCCCGGACTCAACCCCAAAACACCCTGCCCACGCAACAGGCTGCTGAAAATGAAAGGTCAGTGCCTATTTTTAGGGGTAAACCTAAGTGTGCCTTGATGTATTTGGACAATCATGTGCGAACACAGCCCTAATGCCCCGACTCCTAATGCCCCACCCCTTCCTTTCCATACAGGAAATATTGATTACAGCAGGGAAAAAGATGTCCGACAGTTGTTTCAGTAGGAGAACCCGGATTTATTATGCTGGAACAACTTAAAAAAAGATGTCAAACAAGGAGGGGTTTAGCGGGGAGAGCTGCTGGATAATTAGGACGTTATTAATGGGATGGGTCCCATGCTGAATTGTGTGCGCAGGTGTGTGGATAATTTTATTCCTTTGAGAGACGATCCGGCTCATTGGTAAAGTAAAGAAAAAAAAGGGGTGAATGACCAGTACCGTGTGAACAGCACACCCATCGGCTCTGGGTGCGAAGAAACAGTTTCTGAAGATGGCAAAAATGAGCATAACCGGATCTGACGGCGATATGAACACCCATTCGCCTTAAAACAGATGCCAAGACGAAAAAAAACGTTGGAGAAAGACACAATGTCTCTGCAGGTTACCCTCCACATCTGTGCTAGGCCATTTTTAAAAATAATTACTAAAGTTCAATTATATTAAATGTCAGCATACTAAAGGTGAAAACGAAGCTGACAAATGGATCATGTGATCATGCTTTGAGAGAGTGCCGAGAAACTCCTGCATATCTCCTCATGTTTGATGATGCTGACATTCTCGTTTTTCTTCTGCATATCACAGCCAAACATCGGCTATTTAAACTACCGAATCTCCTCTGCTACATCTCCCATATATCTGTACGGGGGGGTAGACCCGCTTCATGAGGTCACCAGTGTTTACATGTCACATGACTTTTCAATGTGACATCACCAATCGTAGGTACCACATGACTAAATCCCCCTGTTCACCGTTCACATTCACCACAGGATCACGTGTAGTCCTTCACTTATCAAATAGGAGAATTCTCATACCAAACTCTGCAGTAGATAACCAACCGCCAGCTTGCTAGATGAAACTCCCCCCCCCCCCCCCCCCCCCCCCCCCACAGCAAACCCCCAGCATCACCGAGGGCATGTAAACTAGGAAAACACTCCCCCTTCTTAACTGGCCTTTGAACGCCAATTAGATGCGCCTGACTTAGAGTCTGCAGGAGATGAGTCAGCGACCCTTAGCATCTACCCCAAACTTAATACTAAATTATAATCATACCGGCAACATAAATAATTTTCTAGGGCGTGCCAATATGCTTATGAAAATGTCAAGTAATACCAACTGACCTTTAAGCACTAAAAATGAATTTATTTGGTCTTTTTAATCCCATGAAAGTCTAGACGCATTATCGCTTCCGATATTTGTGTGCCACATGCACAATGCTGCCCATTAAAAAAAAATATATATATATTTGAACTGGGTTCAAATGAAAAACAACTCCAACTCTAAAAGCGCAGTCTAACAAAGCATTTAACGGTAAGGAAGACACAGCACATCAAGTAACGCAGGGTACTAATTGCTTACAGTATGCTAATTAAAGCCACAAAGAGCTAAAGAATTGTAGACCACAAAAAGACCTCAAACTGAACCATCCTTAATCTAACTTGTTTGTGTGATTTTGTTTTTAAGGAAACTAATTACAGATGGTCAACGTACCAGCCAACAGCTGATCTAACTTCCTAATGGCATAGCATTAAGAAATGATGAACACGTGATAGACTGCTGTGTTTATCAACACGTTTTAGGCCATTAGGAGCTTGGGGGGTGATTTCTATTATACAGTACTTACATTTGCATGAATGAGGAGCAGAAGCTGACCTGAAGCATTGCTTGATGTAGGCTTGCTACAAGATCATTTATTTATTCTAACTAGAGTTTAGGAGGCACCGAAAGGTCTCTGCAGGCATCTGAGACACCGGTGGGCTTGGGAACATTAAAAAGCGAGGTGGTGTGGAAGTTCACGGCCGAGGAAGTCGAGGAGCAACAGCTCAGACAAAATGACCCTTAATCATCGATTTGGAAGGGAGGAGTGGGGCCGACTGCCAGTTCTGGAGCCGGGTTACCACCACGCTACGCTGTTGGACGAGGCCGACAGCCCTGCCAGAAAAATAATACATGTGCATTTTTTTAGACATCATTTCTCAAGAATTGCAAATCAATGATTAATAAACTGTGCCGGAGGGGGAGACAAGCAAGGAGGAAATTTGGCAGGAACGATCGATCCCAACTTCAGTCCACGCAGCCAGCGGATAGCGAGAACGCCGATGTTAGCGCTGCCAAATTTTTTTTAATGAAATCACCATTGCAGAGAAGTTTAGCTCTATTACGCTTACTAATGAACATGGAGGCACGTGGGATCGGCACGGTCAAAAGGCCGAGCCGGAAGGAGCGAGCGGACAAGCCACAGGGTCCCGACGCGAGCTTTGGGTTCCGCGGCCTTTTCTTCTCGGCATCAAAGGCCAAGGTCCCTCCGTAGGGATCAAACACACAAACAATAACCGGGGTGGGGGAGAACGAAATGACAGAGGAGAAGAGAAGAGAGGAAGAATAAGGAGAGAACAGAATAAGAAGGGAAGGGAAGAGAAGCAAAGCTAAGAGAAAGAGAAGAGAAAAAGAGAAGAGAAGAGAAGTGAAAAGAAGAGAAGAGAAGAGAAGAGAATACGTGTCAAAACATCAATGACTACGCCTTGGCAGAGAAACGGCCATCACTGGTTCTGAAAGACAGAGAGAGAGCGTGTGTGTGTGTGTGTGTGTGTGTGTGTGCTGGGGGGTGGGCTCCAGCCCCGGAAAGCTGTACCTGACTGGCGCCCCGCGGCTCTGAGCCGGCTTCAGCATGACTGTCACCGTGCTGTCCGTCTGATTCAGAGGTGTCTCCTGATCGTAGCCGGGCATGCTGGGAGCTGCCGGAGGGAGTCAAATTGGCTTGGAGGAGAGACCTCTTCCCTCAGAGCTACACACCCGGCACCTCATTAAACGGCCCGGCGATTAAATCCATGCTGGCACAGGTCACCCGTTACAATTAGGGCATTAAATCTAAAATTGGAATTAATGCTAAACGTGATTTAAAGGTACAAAACCAAAACATTGTTCTCAACAAGCAAATTATATGTGGGTTGTACATGGCAGGGGTCTAAAAACAGAGGTTTATCTAATGGTGGGTGATCTATATGTGAGATGTTCCACCCGCCTTGGAACTCACCGGAGATCTTGGTAGTGCACTGGGTCGTCACCGGCGGCCCGTAGCCTTTGACGGTGCTGGCTCTGATGGTGAAGGCGTAGGTGGAGCCTGGGTAAAGGCCGAGGAACATGTGGGAGGTCTCATTGCTGAGCTTGAACACCTTTCCACTCTGATTAGACAGGTTGAGCTCGGGGTCAAAAGAACTGACGGCTTTGTAGGAGATCTGTGGATGAGAAAAGGCAGGCGTCTAAGGGGTTAAAACGTAGGGAAACAGCACTGTGAACAGATGATTCACAGTGAATATGGAGCAAAGACTCAGTACGGATAAATACACAGATACATGAATGCAGCAGCCATCTTGGCATTTACCTAAACAAACTCCCTATTATATTAAAAGATCGACACAAATGCTGCTGTTACAGCTGTCCCATGGCCCCAACACCAGTACTTTAGGTGCGATACACTCATAAACGATGCACAGACATCCCACAGCTAACAGCACCCCCCCCCAGCTGTGAATAAACACTGGTGCCATCTTGGTTGGCATCAGCGGGTTGCCGTTGTGGATGCCGGGAGTGGTAAGGTGCGCAAGCACGAGTGCGTTTCCTCTGGTTATAACTTCATCTCCCTAAAAAGCTTTCTTTAAACGAATCATTCTCCTCGTAATAGACAGCCTCTATTATTCCATTTTGATTCCAATTAAAAAGTACAATGGGCGCCTGAGATGAGCGCAGCTCAAACTCATTGGGTGTGAAATTCCCCAGGCTCCACCATTATTCTGCACTCAGGAAGTGCATTTACCATTTTGACCCCCCCCCCCCCCATCACAGGACATTGGGGTGTGGGGGGTACTAAGTGGCCATTCTGAGCATGGTGCCAGTCTGGTCTTGTGACGATACGGGAGAGACGGGGGGGGTTGGGCGCGCAGGGAGGGGGGAGCAGAGGCTGCTGATGTAATACAGACTCTTTTCCTTACAAAATCTGCACATGTTCATAATATGGGCTAGACAGCTAGATTTTATATTATATATAAAAATATATTACATATACAAATAAATAGCACAGTATTTGCACCTTCATAATGCCTTTATAACTGTTTGTTACTAATGCATATTAAAGCAGTTCAGGTACTGTATGTTAAGATGTTACGGTCTACTTACATGCTGCTTTTGAATGTTCTACGAATGCATTATGTTAATGTAAAATGTTACCCAATATTATGTCACTATACACAATATTATATATACACACAGATGGGTTTATCGGAAGTTACAGTGCTAATGCTCCTTGGGAAAATGCAAAAAATAAAAATAAAAAAATCGCTTAAATAATAACCCATCAAATCCATGACGTGATAATTTGATCGAGACAACAACACAAAAAGAAGGTGAATAAAGGAGAAATCAGCGAAACAATGAACGTTGCTGGATGGTGATTTGAAAAACGCCTGGCGGCTCGCGGAAGTGGGGAAACTGGAGCGTCCCCCCCCCGTCCGCCGCCCAGCGAGGCTTCGGCAGGGAGCGGGCAAGTCGACAGAATGACAGCACGTCTGCCTGTGATGGTGCCACGCGACAGCGCGGCGGACAGGCCCGGCAAGCTCGAGGCCGAGACGATGATTAATGAGCGCGTTGACGGGCATGTACGAAATTATGAATTATGAATTTTGTGGTTCCACGGAGAGATAAACAGCAGTTTGTGCGTGCCTGTTTAACTAATTAAATTATTGTACTCATCTTCAAGAATAAATTCCATATAAACCAAAACTGGGTAAAGTAGGTAAAGGGAAATGGATGAAGCCCGTGAAAGATTTTAGGTCAGAGGAAAATGGCTTTAAGCATCTTTTTGATAAGAGCTCCTGTCAGAAGCTTCACATTTTGAAAGCTCTGACACTGTCAAATCAAAGAGAGTCTGACTTCCTGTTACCAGATCCTGCAAGACTGCGACAAACTGCAATCTGTACCTTGCCACAAAGTAAATAAATGACTGGAAAGATTCAGAGACCATCTGTTTCGGAAAACTAACCTGCTCTACCATGGAAATGTTACTCAGATATTTTGTTCGGGATTTCACGTATAACCGCAAGGTTATGTCAAAATGTCTAAAGACAAAAGGCTTGTTGGAACAGGTAAAACTGTCATCAAACACATTCCCCTACACACATCACAAGCTGAACATTTACTCTGTGAAGTCAGAATCCCCTCGGGATCCATCGAGTGTCTTTAGGGGGTAATTCAGGCTGTCCGCCCCTGGCAGCTCACCTCGTACTGCGTGATGATGCCGTACGTTTGCGCAGGCTCCCGCCACCGGAGGGCGATCTTCTCCTCATAGGTGCTGCTCTGAATGGAGTCCAGTGACACTGCTCCTGGGACTGATGGGGGGGAACAGGACTATCAGCACACAGGGGTATCATGGCAGCTGGATGCAGGAAGGCGCCAACCCAACACACAGAAAGGTCCAGATGTGGCAAAGTGCGTTAGTGTGTGTCCATCCGGTGCCCACCCAGGGCACGCCCGCTCAGAGAGGAACAATAAAAAAACGAGCAGATGCTGTGAAATAAATAAAACATAAAGTGTGAAACATTAAAAATAAATGAAAAGTAATAAGGACAGCTCTGGTAGGTGTTTAGCTGCAGTCCTGGGGGAAATTTCAGCTTTTGGTCTGTTTGCATAAATTTAGCGGCACACCCACAAAGTGCCCCCTTTTGTCTGTAAATGAGATGGGGGGTGCTCCCAGGGTACGGGCCGGCCCCCGCTCCTTTCATCCAGCCCCTGGGATGCAACCAAAAAGCTACCTGCAGCCCATGGCAGGCGACAGCCTCCTAAAATGGTCAAAGCGCCTCCGGTACTCAAATCCAGTGACAACCAAAACACGGACTGAACATTCGCTCATGTTCACCCAGGGCATTATGGGAAGGGGCTGTGGGGAAAGGCATCCCTTTATCTGCGCTCTTTTAGAGCTGCTGTTTAGCGGGCCAAATGATCAGACAGACACATATCATGTCATTCCTTTTGGATGTCTTGGGTTTTCCCCAATTGAGAAAATATATATACAAATCACTGTATTAATTTCCAAAAATACTATATTTCAATAGATTTAGAGGGGGGATAAAATTCTTTCAGTAAAGCTAAAAACTGCAGAAACTCGATTCCACACTATATTTCAAGGACGTACAACTGCAGCGAGTGTGAAATTTACTTTGTAAAATGTCACAATGGCCGTGCCAACAGGTCGCAAGTGACTGTATCATTCAAAGGGATAGTTCCTCCTCCCATGACCTGCCATAAGGGGTGAAGGGGTGAGCGGAGCCTCACCATCCTCATCCGTCTGGAACGCCAGCTCAAGGCTCTCGCGGACGCCCTCCGGGTTGCGCAGCACCAGCCACACGCTGATGTTGGTGTAGGGCGGCAGGTTGCGCATGCTGTGCTGGGGGGCGGGGCTCCGCGTGTCATAGCACACCTCCTCGCGCGTCTCCTCCTTGGCACCGATGCGGTAGCGGTACTGCACCGTCAGGTTGTAGCTGTGGCAGCGCGTCACATTGTACCCGAAGGCCTCCCAGCGCAGGGTCACCTGCTTGGACTGGATGTCCACCACCTCTAGCTTCTTGGGCCCGTGCATTGGCTCTGTGGGGGGGGGGGGGCACAGAGAGACGCCTGCTTAGTGACGGTCACGACAAGCATGGCGGCCAATGTGTGGCACAGTGGGTTAGGCCTCAGTGGCCATGATCAGAAGGTTGTCGGTTCAAATCCTGTCCTTCATAAAATAAACGCCTGATAAATAGCACAGATCGGCATTTTCTTCATGATGGAGACATTGACTCAAACAGGATAAGGGGCTGGTAAAGATGGAAGGATGGGTGACGAGTGGATGGATGTAGAGGCGAGTGAAACTGCTCTTCTTATACAGAGAACCCGCACTGTCAGGAAGGTCTGGAGATCAGCAATAAAAAGGCTTGGAGCCTCCACACCCAAGTATTTTAATGCATCAGATCCTCAGCTATACCCCTCCTCGATCCAGGCAGACCTTGGCCCCTACAGACCATGACCCCTGCCCATAACACCTAATATAGGAATCCTGCTGTCTCCACGCTACCCCCCTTTTCAGAATAATACCTGCCAGAACAGTAATGGAATCAATTTCCATCCCAGGTTCAGCTGGCAGTCTCTCTCTGTGGAAGTCAACGCTTTACCACCTATTACCTTCAGTCGGAGCCCGTTCCCACACGGACACACAGGCGGGCGATGGTCGGAAGATTCCGGCATCAATGTTTAATATTACAATCATGGGTAGGAAGCCCCGCCATCCTCGGTATTCACGTTTAATAAATGCTCGGCAGGTACGACCAGCTGAACGCTGAGCGGGGAAAGGCAGCCCAGGCATCGATTTGAGTGAATCTCAATAGCCTCGCTACAGCGGCGTCATTAAATATTCACGGCCATGGCTCTGTTCCTGTCTGCCAGCGACAATCGCCGGGATGAGGCAGGAACCAAAACCACATGCTGGACATGCTTCTCGATTAACAGAATGAGGGGCAAATGATGCAAGATGTTAATGACGGTCAACAGTCAGGCAGAGAGAGAGAAACTGTGTGCGTGCGTGCGTGTGTGTGTGTGTGTGTGTGAGAGCGGTCTTATAGTAAGAGAGATGCCATGACCGGAATCCACTCACAACAGACTGCACGCTTGCTTTTGTTTACAAAAGCACTTCCCACAAACAGCTGGCAAGTTCATTTTCCGGAAAGATTTCTGTTCGAGGACTGTCTGCTTGCATGCTATCCGGTTGGAGTTCGCTGTTCAGCAATGAGTCCACGCATTCCAGCTGTCCCATTCTCATGCTTGGTCATCAAGGGCTGAGGACTCATTAGTCCAATGCTCAATGGACAATCACCATAAACATTAAAAGAGCACTTAACACGGATTGTTTAGCATGTCATGCTGTTTTTATATCAAACTGCCGGAAAGCACTTTCTGGACAACATGGTTAGGTGGACTAATCATCCATAGCATGGAAATTACACAATTCCCAGATTTCAATACTAACGCTACGTAAATGATCTGAGCAACGCTAATGTCACTGAGAGGTCTGAAGATACCAAAGATTTCAGGAATATTCCGGAATAGACACTCAGATTATGGAAAGGATTTTAAAGACTGTTTCTGCTCAGTCTGAGTTATCCTAAGCATTACACCCCTGGTCGGATCTTTTTTGAACTGACATCCATAGGGTGTAATGAGAGGCTTTGCTCTGGGACCTTATTGGAGGATTCCACAGAAACAGGCCCCGCCTTTTGGCAACTGACCAATCATGATCATCAGCACCATGCTCTGCCCTCACAGAGCACAAGTTCTCCAACACAAGAAGACAATAAGCCTCGGGCAAAATCTCACCTCTTGACCCCTTATGGCAGTATTTCTCAACCCAGTCCCCTGGGACCCCCGGATGGTCTATATTTTTGCTCCCTCCCAGCTCCCAACACACTTGTACCACATATTCTATGTCCTGGATGGGCAAGGAGCTGGGAGGGAGCAAAAAAGTGGACTGTCTGGGGGTCCCCAAACACTGCTTTATGGGACCACAGCATCACTATTTGATGATCACCCACAAGCCAGACTCCTGACCCACAGTGACTGTGCCATGAAGTTAAAGAGTCAACTGGAAAATATAGACTAACCAATGGACTGCATGTGAAAGGTAACAAAGTCAAAGCAAAGAGGTTAACGGGGCTAGCGATTCACACATAAACAAAGCAGTGAGTCAGACTGAGAGGAACGAAATGCTTGTCCAGGACAGAGAGAGAGAAAGAGGGATACAGAGGTGTGTGTGCATGTAGGTATATAAAGAACACAAGCAGAGTGACCAACACACCGATCTGATGAAGACACCTTTCACAGTTAAACCACACAGCCCCCGCACTCCCACCTCCACAGCACCCCCCTAAATAGGCCGCTCTCTCCTGTCGGACCTACACATCACCACCTCGCGTGTCGGAACCATGACCAACTAATCATGACACACCAACCCCTCAGGCCACCCGCAATGGGCTGCGGTTACCAGCCCCATCCTACCACCACCCGTCAGCGACCAGGCGCTGGATGATCGCTAAGGGCGGCCATGTTACACGCTCCTGTCCCGAGCTAACGAGCCACTGCATAATTGGGAATGAAGGGCCCATGATACAGCGGGAAGCCTTCAATAGAAAAGCCACACTTGCTTCTAAGCACCTCCAGTCCTGTCTTTGTCTTGACAGCCGCGACACCTTTGGGCGGAACTCAACCAGCGGAGATGTTCCGGAACCTTCCGGCTCGTGGTGCAGTTTGGACTGAACTTTCCCACTCTGAAATAGCACCCGAAAAAAAAAAAAAAAATGAGTGTGGCTTCTTGGGACTGTGAAACCGGATCGAAAAACAAAAACACAGCATCTTTAGCCTGCAGGACACCTTGAGCCCTAAGCTGAAGAGTGGGGGTGGGGATAACATGACAACCAAACAAAAGGCAGCAGACCTGAGGACTGGGGGGGTGACGTGCACATTTGATCTCCATCGCACTTTAATAAAGATAATTAAACAGCCACATGAGGCCCCAGAAGGTATTGTGAGACCTATCAGAAGATTAAAGAGACAGTGTGTATGAAGGATAAGAGCTGCCCCCTCATCTAAAGATCCCCCCCCCACCCCCCGTACTCAGCAGTCGCTAGCCTGGCCCTTGGGGTTCCTGCCCCTTGCCATACCAGTCTCACACACCCGTCACCCCTGCAGTCACTCTCTGCAGGTTCCCACCGGGCTCCACATTAAAGATCCAAGCGGAATCAGTCATGGTGAGGCACCAGTACTGGGGCCCGGCAGCTTACCTGACACAAAGACGCTTACAGCTTCACCCATTCAGGTTTACAAATGTACCCATGATTCCTGTGGAGCGGCTTTGGTGAAAAACCAGGCTCCAGGATATGACATCAGAAGCCCGTAGGGGCCATCGACCAAAACCTGAAGCCCATGTCGTCATGACTGTGGCTATTAACCAAGGGTGTTTATCAACATGTGCACTTTACTGTACTCCTGTTTCCACATACCGATTTAATGTCATCTTCCATTGTCGAAGTACCATTCCAATACTCAAGAACACAAGTACAGAGGACGGCAAAAATCCCCAGATGTCGTTCTTGCCCCACCCCAAATATCAAGTATACATCAGTTGCATCCTTGCCAAACGATAACAATCCCATGATTCATTTTGACCCAAGTTTATTCTTGGGAGGAAAGTTTTCAAGATCACTCTTGCCAAAAACACAAGTATGTTCTTTGCATTCCTGGTACTGATAAACATCCCCAGCCTACCTCCATTAACACCAGGCCACTCTCAGTCCCGCATTGTAGAGAAGGAATCTAGAAAAGCCATCCTTTGCACATCCAAAACAAAGGCAGCACTAGCGTTTCCTGCATCCTACTGACCAAACTTTGACCTTGGTGCAGTTTGTGACAACAAAAGCTTATAAAATCCAATGAATGGCTGTATACACAGAGACAAGAGTGTCAATAATTTACTGTCGCTGAATGAATCTCTGTTAAAATAAGGTTTTGAATGAATGTTTTGTCTCACAGCCAATGTAGCCAGTATGGGCATACAGACTCAAAACCAATATAAGCTTCAAATCAAGATATTTGATATTCATTTTACATTCCTTCTGATTCAAACACAACAACTGTACCTACCAAGAGTTACAGTTTTATCATTCAATAAACATAAAAGAAGTAATATTCAGGAAAAAGCTACCAGGGGTCCAGAACTTCACGAGAAGAATCGCTTGAGATTGTATGCACTATCTGTAGCTATGTGCAGTTTCAAAATTAAGTCCCTCCCCCCCACCACCGCTGAGAAAGCAAGAAGCGTTGGTCTAAAACAAATAACCAAGGACACAGAGCACACAAAGATAAGGAAAGGAAAGCGCTCTGTCGCCAAGCATCAAAGAGCGATAAACGCAGGAAAGCGAGCCGAGAGGACCGTGGAATCGAGATCAATTACTCACGCGATGCTTTCATATCAGCCAGGATGATAATATATTCACATCCTCACCTGGGAGTGAGCGTGTCACGTACAGGCGACCCGTCCCGCTGCTTCAGCATGGCTAGTTCTCACCCCTGCTTCCTTTGTATGGGGTCAGCAGCTATTAAAATAATTAACGGGTCTGAAAATGAAGCGTGGAGATGGAGGGATCCCCGTAAGCGGGGCGATCAGAGAGAGGGGGAGGCCGGGCCGTACTCCACAGTATAACTATTTACAAAAACGAGTGTTTTCGATCTCGGAGGCTCAACGATTGCTGCACAGAAGTAGGGAGGCGAAAAAAAGTCATCTGTCACACGTCGTCCCTCTTTACTCGCTACCTTTCAGGGGCAGAAGCGGAAAATGGGAGTTTTAAAAGCGTCTATTTCTGGAACTATCTGGCAACCGCACCCCGCGAGCGGCGGCCACACGGAAGGCCTGAGGGGGGGGTGTGGGGTGGCCAGGCAGGGAAATCTAATTAGGTGGGGGGGGCAACTCGAAGTGTCAGGAGGCAGTAAAGTGTGAATTCAGAGGAGGCATGCCGGAGGAGGTGGGGGGTGGGTGGGCAGAAGCCACGATTCAGGGGTGA